AACGAACAGACACATTTACTGCTTGAATAGACACTTTACTTGGCACGAACAGACACACTGCCTGCACGTATAGACACACCCTTACCCAAACAGACATGACATACACATCTCCTGGTGAACAGGTAAGTCTTTTGACAATGCCCTTTGCCTTAGTTTTAAATATGCCTGTTGATAGAGAACTTGACCTTTGACCTGCTTTCACGTTTCTGAGCTCTGACGAGATACCTTTTCACAATGCTTTACTTTTTCAAGGCCCGTGCTGCTTTATTTTTACAAGGCCTGAGGCCTATATCGGGTAAAGGCCCTTTTACTCCTCTCTATCTATCCTTCTTCTTTCTATCTTGGTCCACACTCTCTCTCTCTATTTGCTCTTCAGCTACTGTAACGTGGATGACGATGGCTCTAATTATATGAGTATTACGAACTTCGCTTATTTGTATGTTTGCCTTTGACTGAAGACTAAACCAATCACGTGAGTTGGAGAGAGGTTATCACGGAACGCCAGCACATCTGACACAGCCCTGATACCCAAAGAAGGAAACTAAATAAAAAAATGTAATGGCGAAGTTGAGTAAACCAGTAGCATAAGGTCCTTCAGGACGTCCGTTAAAATTGGAACGATACAGAGAAGAATAGCATGGCTCCTGCGCAAGGATGACACGAATAAATCGGGAAATGGTCCCAAAAACAAAAAAAAAACAAAAAAAAAACAATAGCATAAGCGTAAAGGATATGCTCACGCGTGCAAGTACGTCTGACACAGCTTCCTCCTCGTGAAAGAAGGAAAAAGAAACTTCGACATCCCTTTGTACTGATCCAACTTGTGAAATGTATGGGGACCTTTTTTTCATGACAAGGTTCATGTAAAATATTGTGCAGTGGAACCAGGCCCTGACAGTACCCGGCGTTCCTTTTTGTTTTTTGTTTTCGCAAGGACCTGTACGGGGTCCATTTTTCTTTTTCCCTGGAAGTGGTAGCCCCCTATGCCCCCCCGTTTCTTACATTTGGGGGCAGGCTTGTATAATTCGTTTCAAGAGAAACAACCTTCATCTCGTTGTCACTGAAGAGGTTCGGACAGAGGCTGCAGATGGGCTCGGCAGCCAGCACGCCAGGGAAGTGGCGGTTTAAAGGACGAGTCACTAATTCAAGTATATCTCTAGGATTTTTAAATCCACGAATTTGAGAAAAAGTAAATTCTACTGGCCATGTAGTACTAATTCCCCTAGCCTCTAGAGGATTCACATGAGCCATGCCAGTAATAGCCAAATCAGGCTTTAATTCATGAACGCGGCGAAATGCACTGAATTTGATTGTAATTGTCAGGGTTTTCAACTATTCTAGGTAAGGGCACAATCATCATTTCACATGTCTTCTGGAGCAACATTAATTCGGGAAGCAGATGAGGAAAATAGTAAAATACTATAATTATGAATCACTTGAGGCCAGTCAGTTCAATGATGATATCTGAAAGCAGTCGCCCTTTAAGGGGGAAAAAAGGGTTTTGCACTCTCAATGGTTGTCTTCTTTCCTTCAACCCGTTTTCAAATAAAAATATTTGATTCTTGCGTGTGATCCTTGTGCAGGGGCGATGGTACTCTTCTTTGCATCCTCCCAATGTTTTGTTGCTTTTTTTTCTGAGGCTGATTACTCACGTAGCATTTACTGCAATTGCACCTGCAAAAGCATAGTGCAGTAAATTAAAAAAAAAATTGTGGTTGGCAACATTGACCACATTTTAAAAAGTTTTCAAGTTCTTTTTGTTGAAAAAAAGAAAAAAAAGAAAAAAATTCAAAAAAGAGTACTCGGTTTCTGTAAGTAAACACCTGACCGGGGCCTTGCCCCGTCCAGGCCATTTGGGCCAGTCCAAATGCCTTAGAATTGAGTCTAAGGCTAGGCTACCAGGTGGGCCATGGCCAGGGTGGCCTGGTCCGGGCAAGGTGCCGGTCAAGGTCCCAGGTAGCCCAGTGGGAAACAAAAGAACTTTGGAACAGAACTATGTTATGCCAAACAGGGTTGCATAGCTGCCGATCGCTGACCCCGACCGCCGACCGTTTTGCAGCTGACCAGACGGGCTGACCGGTCGGCGGTCTGCCGACCAGTCAGAAAACAGTCATCCACTGATTTGTTTTCAAATCTGAGTTGGGGGCTGAACTGTGCTTCCTGAGTACAGCCCAAATCCACTGAGAAACTTTTGGGGATGGGGGGGGGGGGGGGAGGGGGGGGCGGTATAAAAGCTATAGGGTTGGTATAGGGGGTCTTGGGGGGGAAATGAGGGTGTTGGGGGGCGGTTTGGGGGTTTTGAGGGGGTGTATGGGGTATAGGGGGCGGTTATGGGGGTATTGGTGAGGTTATTGGGGGCTCTGGACCCAAATTATTGTATTTTAGTTTTACGGGGTGCCGATGACCCCCGACCGGTAGGTGCCGACCAGCTGACTGGCTGGTTGGTCGGCATCCGACCAGTCAAGGGGCGCCGACCGTCGGGGTATGCAACACTGATGCCAAACGGGAAAAAAAAAAAACGGCAGTTATAGTACTGTTACAGTGTTATTCTGTTATAGAGAACTGCAAATGAAAGAACTTTTCGCTGAGGGTCACTCTGAGACTCGTTATGAAATTGGAAATGAAAAAGGAAAATGAAACTTTTAATTATCTCACAGACTCACACCCCTTTAAGACCCTTTAGACCCCGTGTAATACACCACAGACCCCTAAGGTGAGGCATGACCAAATTCAAGATAAAGCCCGGATTTGGGCACATTTCTGCAACCATTGAGATGTGGGTGATTTCTGCACCCAACCACATCTCAGTGGGTGCAGAAATGCCCCATCATGAGTTTTTTTTTTTTCCTGCCGAGGTGAACCAGGTAGGTGTATCCAGGCTGCCCGGGCCCGTGTGGCATGGTTGGGCAAGCGGTCCCAGGCACTCAGGTAGATTAGGTCTAGGGTTGTGCTTCCAAGTCTGAGTCTGAGTTCTGGGGACAAAAGACGCTGTCCAGGGCCAGGAGTCGTCTGAGACATCGCTCAGGTAAAATGGTTTGCGGTTCGTGGCCTCAGAAATACCCCCAGAGCCTTGAAAAGTCAACCCATGCCTGAGGAAAGCCACCAGTCAGGCCAAACCCGGGCTCAATAGCAGAGCCTTGAAAAGTCAACCCATGCCTGAGGATAGTCAACAGTCAGTCCCAACCCGGGCACAATAGACCAAGAGCCAAAGTTTTTCCCAGAAGTCAAAATCGGCCACATCACACACCATCCAAAGGCTCAGCACAGTTTCCAGAAGCTTCCATACTCGCTGGGACTGGACGCACACAGGCCGCGGCAAAACCCTGGCCACGCAGATCCAGAATCTCAGCTGTTCGAGGCGGCGACCGGAGGGATTCCACACCAAGTCAAAATAATGGAAAGCTGGCTCTGCCCCAGTTCGGGCATTCATTCTGCATGGACGGGGGAATGCTGAAGCTGGTGCACAGGAGGACTCTTCTTTCGGCCGGGCAGAGGTAAAGGGAGAGGCTTGGCCAGCCTTATCTGCCTGTAGCATATAGGAGGCTGACGCCTCCATAGGTCATACATAGTCTTTAGAAGAGAGAGAGAGAGAGAGAGAGAGAGAGAGAGAGAGAGAGAGAGAGAGAGAGAGAGAGAGAGAGAGAGAGAGAGAGAGAGAGAGAGAGAGAGAGAGAGAGAGAGAGAGAGAGAGAGAGAGAGAGAGATGACAGGAGGTTGTATGTAAGATCTGCTGTAGGAGAGAGATTGATGTTTACCTGGCGTCTTCCTGCTGACTTTCTTCATTGTCGTGGACTTCATAGCTGCTCAAGGTCTGCTGCAGCGCTGGCGAGAGGCATTTCCAGGCTTGGGCACTTCCGCACTTTCTTTTCATAGACAAGCGAGTCAAAGCAGGATATCCTGTCTGTCTCTTTCTGCGCATGTTGTTCATTGGTGTTTTTTTTTTTATCTAACTTGCATCATGGCTGCCTGAAATGTTACTTTTTTTTTTTTTGTAGGTGTGGGGCATCACAGGTCAGAGGGTCTACGGCGAGCGAGTTGGTGAGGAATACTCGGACAACCCTCTGCGGTTTGCAATCTTCTGCCAGGTTTGGTCTCAGCTCATCTGATGGAACTAAAGCTTTTTTTTTCTCTTTGTTTTTTTCTCTTTGTTTTTTTCTCTTTTTTTTCTTTTTTTTCTTTTTTGAGGGTCCACCCCCTTTACGAGACCACCTCCCTACCTTTCCTCTCGTCAATTCTCCTGGCACACCGGTACTTCCCCTATCCTACCTCAGTGTCTACCACTCAGGACCATCACCCTTCTGCCGTCTCCGGAGGGGTGACCTGACCGGACAGTGGTTGTAGGCACCAGGGGTGAGCAGGAGCCCTACTCAGCCCTCGTTGAGCATGATCAAACAAGCGCTGCTGTGCGGGCACTTCACGTGCTGGGCACAAGCATTCTTTCTACAGGTCCCATGGGGAAGTCCCCTTATTGTGCCCCGTACCTACCCGGGTTCCTCAAGTATATTGGTCTTATCAATCTAGCCCCATATATCTTAGGCAGTGCCGAATGGAGCCCCCCTAGCCAAGGTCTAACCTATGACACCCCTTGAGGAAACCAGGCATACCCACCTAGTACAGCGGCTGTTCCAATTTCATGTTCTTATATACCGACCTAGGGGTTTAGCGTATCCTCAGTAGATGTACGGCCCACATCTGCCCCTCTACCTCAACCATCCAGTAGACCCCTCCCAAGTCCCTGCTGTTGTGCTCTGCATGAGTCTATGTACGTCCGCATGTCACTGTGTAGCCTGTGCAGGTCTGTTTTGCCTTCTGTACGGGTCTGCATACTTCAGCCGGGATTATCCTTTTGTTGATTGTTGCCATTGTCTTGCCAGAGTACAGCGTCTCCTCCCTTCCACAGAGATCCACTTCCTGTTTGTGCTCCCTTCTACAATACTATAAGAATCGCTAACGTCATATCTACCGGCCCAGGTTGCGGCCCGGTCACCACCCACGGACGGCCCAGATCGCAGGCCGATGAGAAACTTTTCTCATCGGCCTGCGATCTGGGCCGTCTGCAGGTGGTGACCGGCCCGCAATCTGGGCCGTGCGATACCGGTTCGGCCCGCCCAAACGGCCCTTCTGAACGCGCGCCCGCGCCCAGCCCTGAAATCGCCCTTCGAAGGCCCGCCATTCGAAGGGGTGGGCTTCTTAATCGTCTCGGGCGCTACAGCACGCTACGGCACGCGACGTGCTCATCGTGCTCTCTCTCTCTCTCTCTCTCTCTCTCTCTCTCTCTCTCTCTCTCTCTCTCTCTCTCTCTCTCTCTCTCTCTCT